TTGAGCAAAATAACAAATATGGTTATAAGGTTTGAGGAGATAGATATATGTTTATGTTGGATTGACATTGCAAAATAAAAGTTGCATAGTGTGATCAGCCCAATGCTTATCCAGTATCGATCTTCCAGTATGATCCCTGCACAAAGGATGTCTTCCATCCCTTTATCCTTTAAAAATCTCTAAATCAGGAGTGTCAAACTCGATTTTATTGAGGGCTGCATCAGGGTTGTGTTTGACCTTGGGGGACCAGGTGGGCGTGGCCAGGTTGGGTGTGTCCAGTTTGACATCACTTGTGTAGGGCACCTGTGGTGGCCCGAGTGCTCTGCCAGCGAAAATGGACTCTCGAGCTCCATTTTCAGCTGGGATGCCCTCCTGCAACCCTCTGCCAGTGAAAACGAAGCTCAGGTGGGCCTCCCCCAGCCCTCCTGAGCTCTGTTTTTGCCGGCAGAGGCACCACGATCTGGTCCTTCGCTGTTTCCAGAGTGACCCCGTGGGCCACATCTAAGTACCTTGTGGGCTGGAGCTGGCCTTGAGTTCAACCACCCTGCTGTAAATGGTCTAGGTTGATTCTTTAGGATTGGTCTTTATCCTAAACAGCAGGCTTTTCTGGGGACTTCGGGGCAGAGGGGGAGACAGGCCAAGGAATTTTCTTTCTGAATATCTGTGCACTTGTAAAAGTACTGGATTCAGGGCTCAGGGGAGAGAAGATATAATATTATGACTCGGGCTACTGACTGTCTTTGGCAGAAGAAAAGAAATGGCTGATTTATAAATCATGCAGTGAGAATTATTCTGAGAGTTTCATTATAGCCAATTAGAAGCATTCTAGGGTATGTAAGCTTGTGCAATAAAACAGCACACGTTGTTTCAGAGACAGAAGGCGTATGGAATTCCAAGCCTGCTGATAGGAAAGCTAAATTTGGAGAAGAGACATAAGCCTCCCCTTCCCCAAGTTTTGCATCAAATCTTTCTGTTTCATCAGTCCCAACTTTTCAATTTTGAGTGAGAAAACCTGAGGGAAATTTCTGCTGTTTTCATTGGAGCATCACGGTCTCTCCCATTCTCAAAGCAACCCATCTATTTTTTTTCCTGCATGTGTTCCTAACTGAAATCTGGAATTCTGGGAGTTGAAGTTCACATGTTGTAATGGGGCCATAGTTGCCCACCCCTGGTTTATGGGATATTAATTCCATCTCCCTACAGCATCTTATCGCTATAAATCAAAAGCAATAGCAAGGGTTTTAATTCGATGCTATGTATCTATAAGCTTCATTCTTATCCATTTTCTCTCATGTCTGGCCCCCACCCCAGCCCCTTGTTTAGCTGATCTAACCCCAATCTATTAAGTCTAGTTCAGGGCGGAAAGTGATCCTTAGTAGTTAATGTCATGCTCTTTATGTGTAAAATGTTAATATGATGAACATATTATCATCTGCAACAATGTGACGATCATGAAGCTTTCAGACAAGCTGCAAAGTAATCTTTGGGGGTGGGGATTAGCAAAACTCTGATGGGTAGAAGTTTAGTATTCGAATCACGACTTTCACATACCAGCAAGGAAGTTTTCTCATAATGCCATTGAAATAGTGCCTCTTCTGGGCTTTTGTTCTTAGCTACAGCATTACTTAGAAGCTAAGAAACACATTTGTTTCCAAAGCATTTGTACACCCATTGCTTCAGTGGTGCTGAAAATTGAGAATTGATTTTACCAGTTGGACTTGCTAATTAATATTGAAGGACATCTGTCTTACCCTTTTATTCCCCTTCCTTGCCCCAATCCCTTATATGTGGTTTCAGCATTAATAACACTTAGTGCTAATGCTTATCAATAATTTAAAACCAGCTCTACGGAAACGTCAAACTAAGTTCAATTAGTCCTCTCTTTTTCCCTTCTAAGATGATTGTGGTACTTTTAGCACTATTTATTTTGTTCCAATCTTATTATTTTCAAAAACTGCAGGCACTTGAATTAAAGGGTAGCATAGAAATATGTGAAAAGTAGAATATCAAGTATTGTATATAACAAAATCCAAGAGAGTTTTAGGTGCTACTGCTGGGACGATGGTTATCAGTAAGATTGTACAGTGTCCCATGTTGTCATAAAAGAATTCAAATTTCCTTCTGTTTAGGTATCTGAAAGTAATTATTGACTGGGCAGAAGGGAAAAAAACTTGAGGTTTAAGGGCTAAACCCTCACCCTAAACCAAATAACATGTTTTAGGTTAAACCATCAAATTATAGCCTACTATTATAATTTTGTCCCAGTATGCCATTCAAACTCTGTCATTGTAATCCTTGTTTGTTTTTCATTTATTTATAAAATAAATAAATGAAAGTTGATGATAAATAATTATTTATTTATAAATTTATTTATAAATAAATAAGATGAAGGTTGTTCATCTTACCTCAAGGTAATTCTTTTAAGGCTTAATGATTAACTCTTTTTTAAAACTGATTAAAAATGGACTTTTTAAAAAAATATTACACTCACATGGAATGGAGATGCAGTTGCCTGTGTGGCTTGCTCCAGATTTGTTTATTTTTACATGTTTAATCAATAACTTATGCTGTCTTTTTATCATCTAAAGGCAGTGGAGGAGAGTTTGACAGACAACTTAAATAACTGCTCGTGGACAGTGCTTTTTATAAAATTTGGAAATAATTTTTAAAAGCTTTGAGAAACTCCCACAAGGGAGGTCTACTTGAGAAAGAAAACCAAACGTTCTGAATTCAAAGTCCATATCGTTACACGACCATCCCTAAGAAATACATCTCTGTTCGTATGTGTATGTGATTCTTACCATGAGTTCATATTCTTTTAAATGCTGGACATTACAAGAGAACAATGAATAAATCAAAGGAATATTTTCTTCTCCCCTTTTTTTAATATGAACAGGTCCTGACTAGGACCAAGGGTAAAATATTTAAAAAGGTGAAAATTTTCTTTGTAATTAATTCATCTTATTGGGTGTTATATGTCCCCATAGTGTATTGCACAATGCCTTGGGCACAGTTGGACAGTCTTATTGTATATAAAACATATTTCAGACGCATGGTGAGCTTTATTGGTTCTCTCTTCACTTTTATGAGATTCCATTAAAACAAATGCTTTAGGCCATTTATTACTTGGCATTAAAGCAAAAGGGTTTTAACTGTGAGACAGCTCTGGACTTGCTTCGTATTTCATCTAACATGAAAGTTTTGTGAGCTGTGTTGAACATATTGGAATGGCACAGGCATCAGCAATTTTCCTTTCTCTTTCACCTCCTTTCTTTCTGCATCATTTTTCTAGCCTGATTATAGACTCTCCTTTAGCATTTTTGACCGAAAACCTTAACGGTACTAAAAAGGGTTTGCTGTGCTTAAAAATAACCAGCTTATTTCATGGTGGTTGGATTGTACTTGCAGAGGGCCTGGAAGAAAACCACCTTGAAGACTGTAATGATGACACTTGAGAGAGGCAAAGGCAGAGTAGGACAGACAGACCATTCTGGTTCTTCATGATCTCGGAAAATTGCAGTATTATTTATCGGTAACATGATATTCTTCTGGTCTGATTGTAGAATATGAGAGACATGGTATTATAGTAGTTCTTTTTTCTCTCCTCGTCATAGCCACTGTTGGTTTAGGGAGAATGGTTGAGTCCAATGCTCCTGAACACCAATGCCCTTTGAGATGTCTTAGGGCCAATACTCTATTTCCTTCCCTCCTCCAATTTAATATATGCATGAGACTGATGAGTCAAATCATCCAACACAATTTTTCCCCATTTTTTGTGAGCACTGTATCTGTTGTTCTTTACCACTAACAGCTGACTGACATTTTCTTCATACAGATGCCACTTGGACCAGAACTTTAGAAATGAAACTTTACTTTGTGCATCTGCGGGTTGTGCGTCAGTTATGACCTTTCCTGGACCAACAATCCCTACTCACAGTCACTCATGCCCTAGTCACTTCCTGTCTTAGCTATTGCAACATGCTCTACATGGGACTGCCCTTGAAGAGCATCCAGAAGTTCCAGTTGGTGCAAAATGCAGCGGCCTGCATGGTTTTATGCAGACCCCAGTGTGCACATGTATCACCTTTCCTGTGGGAGCTATATTGGCTGCCAATTTGCTTCCAAGTGTAATTCAAGGTGCTGGTTGTCACCTTTAAAGCCCTTCATGGCTTGGGACCAGGTTATCTGAGGGACCGTCTCTTGCTGGTCACATCTATCTGACCCATTAGAGCAGGGAATGAGGCAGATTCCATCTCCTAGGGAGATACACCTAATGGGACCCAGAAGAAGGGCTTTCTCCGTGGCTCCCTCTCTCTGGAACATCATTCCTCCCGAGATTAGAATGGCCCTCACTGTAATACTCTTCCAGAAGGCACTGAAGACCTGGTTCTGCCAGTGGGCCTGGGGAACCCAGAGCAGGATGGAGCCCATTAAATGGCTTGTGTGATCTGCTGTCACTGGGGTGGGGGTGAGGGTGATTTTATTCTATTCTATTAATTTATTTGATCCTTTTTTATTAGTTTTATGGTTTTAAATGATGTTTTATATTCTGTAAGCTGCCTTGAGTGAATAAGCGGCAATATAAATTAAATAAACAAATAAATAAATAACACTTTCCCGTCATTTATTAGGTTTTCTGTTGACAAGGTTTATATATTGCCAAGATTGCAGTTGCATGTGATACAGTCTCTATCTAGAAGTCTGTCCTATTGTGTAACATTTGATGTATTTAGGTTCCATTGCCATAGCCTTTGGTAAATTATGCAGTTGTATCCCTTGTACGTTAGGGAAGGAGAGAAATGCAAGTGAATATTTGGAAACTCCTGCATGTAAATCAGAATGTGAATCAGATATTCAGTTACACATTACAAGCATCCCTTAAAACAACTCCTCTAAATATGACAGGCAGTGATGGAAATAAAGCAACCAGTGTGGCCTTTGTTACAGTCCTTGAATGCCTTTTTCGTTTTCACTTTGTTTTTATTACTCCCTTGGTGCAGGGCTGCCGCACAAGGTCTTTCTCTTAGCTTAATGGAACGGCTGATTCAGAAATGTGGGGACCGTGTTGTGAAGATGCTCACTGTGCAGTACCGAATGCACCAAGCCATAATGCAATGGGCTTCCACTGAGATGTATGACGGTCGTCTCTCAGCTCACTGTTCTGTCGCACAACATTTACTGAAGTAAGTGATTGATGGCTTACTTGCCTTCTTTTTTTCTGCCCAAATGTTAGATTGATGCTGTCTTTTAATATTTAAAGCTAATGCAGACTTCTCCTGACTGCACAAAATCGTTTCCTCTAGCTCTGGTCTAGCAAATAGCCTTTTGCCTCATTTTCAGCTGGCAAAAAGCTGATTTCTGCACTGAAGTTACAGCATACAAGTTTTGTTCCACAGCTGAAGACATGTTGTAGACTTGAAATTGTTGTCACTGTTGGCCCACCAGCTATCATGCTGTTAGACTTGCTAATAACTCTTCCAGCGAATTTCAACTTTTATTCAAAGTTGGAAGAGAATGTTAGCTTCCTATTTCTCTTCTTTGCCTCGACTCTTGCTACTTTCCTTTTCTGGAAATCATCCTGGGGTATCTTAAAATAAACAAAACTTCTTCTATCTAGAAAGGGAAGGGAGTGGGATATCACTTTGTTTAAAAGAGAAGTAGTTTCAACCATGATACTGTCTAGCTGTTAGTAGACTCTCAGGTAAACACAGAGGAGTTTGCCTATTCATTTCAGTAATATTCCTGACTCATTCACTCACTCACTCATTCATTCACTCATTCATTCATTCATTCATTCATGTCAAAGCATCACCTAAAGTAGAAGAAGAAAAGCAACAGATGGTGGGGCTTCATGTCTATATGGATTTTGGGCCCAAGGCATAGTCCCCACTTTAGGACCTTACTTGATTTCTAAAATTTCAGCATTCAAAGTTTGTTTATAGTCCAAGAGCAAATACAAGGAAAAAGAACAGTAGTACAATTCATATTATAAAAGAATTTTAAAAATTGCAAGAAAATCCTGAGATAATCAATACCCAATAATTAATAACATGATGAAGGAACCAGGTGGTTTCTAAGAGTTGTAGCTATTGATAGAAATTTTGAAACTTTCTTACAGATTTCTGAAGACAGGTCATAAAAAGAAGGTTCATGGTTTTTTATCACAATGGCAATGTAACCAGGAAATATTAAGTTCTATCATCATTAGGTATACTGTGGACATTTTATTAGAAAATGTGAAACAGATTCTACCTCCATGTCTGAAAACAATTATGGCTTTCATGTGGAAGACTTATACATCTTCCAGTTTTTGCTCTAATAAATAATGCCCATCAGGCTATTGTAATAGTCTCCTATGAGGACCATATAGAACTTCAAAGAAATATCTAGGGATAGGCCAGAGAAGAGAGACAATTGTGTTGTCACTAATATGCCTCCTTAGGGTGGCAGAGAACCTACCTAGCATGATGAGATGGACCAAGTAATTTCCTTCTTAGACTTCCTTCAGCCATATCCTAGGACAAGAAAATTGGGCCCAAGAGAAATTCAGCTAAGTTCCAGTCAAATTGCAACATAAGAAATTGAATGAGGGGCTTGCAATAAGACTTTTTTTTAATTAGACTGCATTGCTTTCAAGCTAGAAGTACATCTTGTAGTACATCTGAGCAGTATATAGCATCAAGCCTGGAACTTTATTTTTAAATAGTTTAATAGTTTCTGAGAGATCATTGTTTCCAGATTGATCTGCAAATTTAGTAATTGCAAAGCATGCTTTTTGGATTCTTGCTAGTAGCTCTCTTGCGGGAACAGACTTGCAAGTAGAAGATTTAAAACAGACATCTAGATACTTAAAAGATTTAACCTGTTTGATAAGTTTGCTGCTAATCATCCAATTAGACCTTTAAAGTGTCTCCTAGAGAATACTAATACCTTTGTTTTAGAAATTTATTTTGAAGCATTCTCTGGAGCAGTAAAGCAGTAGAGCTTTAAGGCGTCTTTGAGGGTCTACTTGGTTTAAAGAGTAGGACTTCATCTTCAACATCAAGGAGAATAGACATGGGATGGTGGGCAAGGCAGGGTGGATGGAATTCTAGCTTAGCAGATTCTTAACAATATTGTTAAAATAAAAATTGAACAGTAGTGAGCAAGAATATAGTCTTGTTTAACATCTTGTTTAACAACACATTTAATTAAGTCATCAGCAATATTTCCCTTAACTTGAATAGTAATGCCATGATGCAATAACATTATTAGTTTAAGAAGATGGTGTTGTAGTAACTAATTTCTTTAAAGTTTTTCTCATGGTATAGAGTCAAAGGCTTCCCTCAAAACTATGAGAGCTACATAGAGGGCATCCTTAAATTGATTACAGTATTTCTCAGCTAAATGAAGTAAAATGATACTTGGTTCATGGCTGTGTGAACAGACTTAAGGCCAAATGTTTTCAGAGGACATCCAATCCTTTCTAAAATTTAAAAATGGAAACTGAATAAAGAGAATAGAAGAGCTAGGAAATAAAGGTGAAGCATATTTGCATTTTTTCACTTACGAATTTATCTATTATCCAAAATTTGTACGTAACTTGTGCATGTGCTTGTTAAGAAAATAATAAATTACATACAATATGTAGAAAGACCAAGACTGAAAAAGTTTTGGAATATGGCGCTTTATTTTATGTTGTAATAATCCATTTCCCCATTTATTAGAAATAGAATTTTCTCTGCCATGAATCAGTGTATCATTTACAATTGTGTAAATAGGGATGGGGATATGTATTTCCCTTTATAGCTCCTAAAATATAAAGCCAGATTACAAAAGGAAAGTTTTGTTTTGTTTTTTGAAGAAAGATAGATACAGTTCAGGGAACATTTTCAGCATGGAAAGGAAATTGTATCAGAGATTTAAATCACCAAGAAAATAATTTCATTACATAATATTGATGGCCAATGAAGTGAAATATTTTCTAAAGTCCATGAAAGAAATTGTCAACTATAAAAATGAGTTGCTGTTTTGAGAGAAGGAAGATGTTTGTGTCATAAGTAGGGTCTGATGCTGCTGATAGAAGAAAGCTCCATAAATTTTTGCTACCTTCATTGGACTCTGTGAAAGTCTCTTGACCCTCTTTATAATCACCAGGTTATAAGAAAACACAAATGGGAGATAAAAAGACTTTGGAGAATTGCTTAAATCAAGTTGTACAGAGAGGATTCCAAATAGTATTATTAAATCACACTCTGCCCCCCCCCCCCAGCCCTCCAACAATGTGCTTGGTTTTTGCCTTACTGTGTTCAAAAGAAGCATGCACAATTGCAGTATTAAGGAAATGTATAAATAATGTTAGGTACATTATTCTGAAATATATGCCATCATATTTCAGAAGTATATTCTCAGCAAAATTTTGAAAAACACTTAAAACTGGCTCATTTGCATCTTTGCTTTCAGCTTTTCAAATACATAGGGGAGTGCATTATTTGTTTTTGTTTTCATTTTAGTCTGTTAGTTGGTACTCTGTGAGAAATGAAAGTGAAAAATAAAAGGGCCTAATCTTGTTGCAAAGTTTTTACAATTGTTACATCCCTTTCATGCTGTTTTTCTGTGAACTGCCATACCTACTTGTAGTAAATCCATTTAATATGGAAATAATATAAAAATGCTATCCATTATTAAAAAGAATTTCAGCCATGATAATTTTTGGTTTAATGTCCACATTTAGTTTGTGTTTTGGGTTGTGAAGAACACATCTTGGACTGTAAACAATCCAAGGAAGCTCTAGGCCAAGATCAGTGATGGCGAACCTATATCACATGTGCCACAGATGGCACGCCGCGTCATTTGTCAGGGCATGCAGAGCCATTTGT